AGTAACAAAATTTATTCACTGCAAACAATAAAGAAGATACGCTAATGTTTACGTGATAAAATAGGGTGGAGTTAACAAAAATAATTCTGTAGATTCATAAATGATTATCAAATCATCCTTTTAAGGGCTAACATTTGTTTGACCATGCAGCCTGCATATTAATATTATTTTTGTGTTATAAATGAAAAAAAATGGAATCACAGTCAATATTTCATTAAATCTACTCATTGAATTTATCCAATCAAATGCCTGTTTATCGCGTCTTTTTAATTCAGTTGCATTTTTGATCGGTTAAATTTCTTTATCAAATCCATTTCAGGCAATTAACATTTCTTACTTTCTCCCTCTCGTATACCTCTAGGTGTTAATCACGGCATGTTGCATTGCAGTATGTAACTAAATATCGGACATAAAAAAGTCACGGCTTGAAAATCCACTGATTAACTCTGAACAATGGCTGTGTGTATCTGCGGCTGGCCCGCTGCATACATTACCTTCACACACGGCCACCTAGATAAAAATGTCGAATTTCTACAAGCACAGAATTTCTTTCTCTCTAAAGAAATCACTCAACGACCTTTCTCTTTCTCTCTCGGTGTGTTTAATCAGAATGACCGCCGGGAACTTTCTCCTTATCGTGCTCGTCTTCTATTACTCACCATTTTGGGAGAAATATGAGCATTTAAAACGTGCAGCTCGCTCTATCACACCTCTCTCAGTCGAAAGCTTGATTCGGTATTCATGGACAGGGCCACCTGGGAAGATGACACACACACACACACACACACACAGGCCGCAGGTAAAAAGAGATAGATGAACATCGACTGAATTTTAGAGCAGTCAGTTTTCAACAGTTTGCCTTTTTATCCATCTGCAGGTACCACAGCAGTCACTTTCAGCCTGTGTGTGAAATATAAAGTACAAAACATATTTTTCTCTGGAGTTTCAGACCCTCTAAATTCATCTACTGTTTCAGTCACTGTAATATACTGTAAATATCTCTAAAACTGCACCTCATCGCCCCCTATTGGTGTAACCTAGTTTAATGTTTATCCTGTTAGGTGTACTGTAGCCTTGCAAGACATCTAGCTTTTGTCTAAACATCATGATTTCTTCCTATTTGTAAGGAATCACTTACAGATACATAAGCATGTTAGCGCCCACGCACAAAGTGCCAGTGTGTATTAGTTTATATGAGTGTACACATACAGCATGTAACACACACTCTGCTGAACACCACATCAACAATAACGCAATATTTACTATTATGTCATTCACACATCTATGAGCCACTACTGATCTCTCTTAGATTTTCCCTTCCTATTGTATTGTTTTTCTCTCTTTTTGGCTCTGACATCAAATCACAGGTTTATATTAACCAGAGAACAGGAACTAACATGTTTCATGGAGGAACAAAACACTTCAGGAAATGATGTTATAGGAAAATAATCACCTTTGGAGTGTTATTTTTTTCTGTATTCCTTTGTGTTCTGCTGTCAAATTGTGTTTTTAATTTGTTCAATGTGCACATGCGCACATGCGTAATAATTTTTTTTCTCTCTTTTTTTCTCTGTTCTCTCCATTTGTTTTTAATTTTCATTTAGTTTCTTTCCTTTTCAATTTTTCTCTCCTTCTCTTAGGAGTGGTTTTAATAGACCATTTAAATGTAAATGTACAATATTTTAGTATAACTGTAACTGTATAAATTGCTAAGTGCAGGTATAAATAAATAAATAAATAAACTTTTTGCAGGTGCTTTCACACCTACCTTGTTTGGGGCAATTTAGCTCTTTTTGACAGACGTAAAAACTCCTCCTCCTGTACTCGGGTACCGTTTCCATTTCACATCCGTGTTTTCACTGTATCTTCACAACAGAGAAAGAAACACCAGGTTTATTTTCCACCACAATGATCTGAATCTCACTTCCTTGTTTTAAGTGCACAATATAAAGTAATATTACTGCACACCATGTCCGATAAGGAGTCATTTAGATGTCAGTTTAGCCTTTGTTCCTAGTTATTTTGCACCGAGATGCAGAGTGACATGGCAGCACTGGTCTGGTGTTATCACACCACAGACGTTCCTTCTGTAACCATTACTAAAGAAATGTCTCCTGAAATCACATCGCACTTGCCAAAGCACACAAGAATTCAACTGGAGTCAAATTTCTGTTGTACATAATAAAATGACTCCATATCTGAGAAGCTTAAGATGTGTGAAAAAAACACCATATGGCACGTAAGACTTGCCAAGTAAAGAAGAACTACAAGTAATAAAGCTCAAAAATAGACTCGTGGGGAATGTGAGAGGTTTTATTTGGTCAAAAAAATGTGAGAGTGAACACAGAAAAGGATCAGAGTCTGTGATAATCTGAGCAAACATACTGGCTTTGTGTCTGGGATGCGACAGACAGGAAGTCAGATACGTGTGTGTGTGTGTGTGTGTGTGTGTGTCCATTGTGTGAATTTAGAATAGCAGCTTAGAGAGAATGGATGGCTGGATAAAATGTTTATGAAGGGAAAATGAACTGTTTCCTCGAATGAATCCACCGCCGCTGCCTTTATGCCTTCGTTTATCTGCGAAAGTTCCCGGTCGGATTTTAGTGTAATCCCGCTGCCTGACTCCACCGCCCGACTTTTCATTAAATCACCCGCCGTATTTTAGCAGGGAAATGGGTTTGTTGTATAATGGAACCAGGCTGTGAATAAAACTGAAAAAATACTGAAAGAGAAAGAGAGTGTGTACAAGCGTATGAGTGTGTGTTAGAGTAATACACTGACTCTTACAGGTTATTAGAGTGAAATAGAACCGAATTCAGCACCTTTTTCTTCTTATAATCAAGGTGCTGCTGATGTCTCAGGAATATAACCTAATAATAAACAGATTTAAAACTCATTGTTATTTAAAAAAAAAAAAAAAGTTTAGAAAAAAAAATTTAGAGCTGTAACTTTATGTTTTTGGACATCTTCAGGAGAGAGGTTTTCGGTTTCTTCGTAACACAGCAGGCTGCGTTTATTTTTCGAGAAAGAAATACATGGCTGGTGAAGGAACAACTGCTTATAGCTGCTAACATACATAGCATAAATGATAAGAATTCTTTCGCAGACATTCCGCAAGTTTAAATGTAGCCATAAATGGATAAATGTACAACGTGTCATTCACGCTTTAATAAATAATAAAAAAAAAATCATGATAATCTTCAGCAAATTGCTGTAATATAAGAAGAATACAACACTTCAAGTTGTGATGATGTAGGAAAATAATCAACTTCAGGATGGTAACAGTGACTCTGCTTCATCCCACTACCTTGTCGTTGATTAGTTTCCTATAACAACATGATATAGAGTGTTTTATTCATTACGTAACTGATTTTAGTAAAAAAGAAAAACAGACACAGAAGTTCTAACATGTCTAGCATAGTACTTTCAGTCATTTTTGTTTTGTATTATCTGCTTTACAAAATCTTCACGATGAAATTGTTGAAAGACACAAACAGACAAATCATCATGGATCATTCTGAGACTTTTAATGTATTTAAAACAACTTATACAGTACACACTATACATTATACAGTAGGCTGGTAGCTGGACTGGTCCAATGTGATTACAATAAACAAGATGAAGTGGTTACTGGAGATGAAGAAATGAATGGTGCTTGGACCCCTAATTATAACAATAAGAGATTGAATACGAAAATCTGAATCAAGAGCCGTTCCACAGATTAGCGGTATTAAGCAATGCTCTGTGTGAAGATATTGTAATTAAGCATTTAGCTTTTAGGCACAAGACATTACTTTGTTGCCGTAATGATAAAAAAAGTGTGCTGTAGGATGATTTTCCCCTAATGACTTCCCTAAAGTGTGTTATTATCACTCTTACCTGACTTTGCCTATGCTGTTTTTAAAAAAAATATTGCTTATCCCTCATAGTTTCCGAAAAACCCGCACTAGCTAGCCAATGTTAGTCTTTCACAGCACAACAACATCACGTCGTAAATCTGATTAGTGTATGAATAACACACAGGTACAGTGCTGTGAGTCACTTTCAAAGCAGCAGGTTTCCTATTTCATGCTGAAACAACACTTATATTGAAAGCAGTTCTATTCTCCAGCTTGTGGAAGAAATAAAGAGAACGAGGTCCAAGTGATAAGATGAAACAGATCGGGATAAAAATTCATTCAAAATGAGCCAAAATGAATGATCTTGGTGATGTAACTAGTCTTCGGAGAGAAATCCTGTCTCTGTGAAATATATGAAAAACAAGAGGATTTTAAATGAATGTGTGTTTATGTTGCCATGAGACATTTGGCAGCAAAATGGTGGCTCTTTGTGTCCTAAGCCAAAACAAACAGGATGTTAAAGCAGCCATGTTGTGTCTGGTTTCAGTTTAAACACCACGGCTATAAACAGTGCTAATTGAATCTATCATTAGACTCCGTACACTTTGACACTCTCTGCCATCTTGATGTATTGTGTAATTAATATTTCCATATGCCTGAGTCGGACGTTTCGGCGCATCTCTCTCCTGCAGCATCTTTCACACCGACAAATCGAGTGAAAACGAACTCAAAACATTTACATGTGTGAGTCGGCCCCATTACGCTGCCAATTCTCTCAAGCCAGAAAACACTGAATATTCATAGAGCGGCTCAACGATAAGCTTCACGGGGCCACTGCACTCTCTCTCTCTCTCTCTCTCTCTCTCTCTCTCTCTCTCTCTCTCTCTCTCTCACACACACACACACACATGCTCAGCACATGCTGGGTTACGCAGAACACGCTGAGTACTTTAAACTCATGATCAAAAGTGTGCAGATTTGATAATGAGTGAATCCTAATATGCATAATCATCACAAATAGAAGAAGAAGCCTTTGTCACATACACATTACAGAACATTTACATATCCCAGCTTGTTAGGAAGCTGGGGTCAGTCAGGATACACCACCCCTGGAGCAGAAAGGATTAAGGGCCATGCTCAAGGGCCCAATAGTGGCAGCTTAGCAGTGACAGGGCATGAACCCCAATCTTCTGGTCAGTAACCCAGAGCATTAACCATTGAGCCACCACTGCCCTAAACAGCTAGAGTTTCAAAACAATCAACTTCTGGGTGGTAACAGTAACTCCATTTCATCACACCACATTATTGTTGATTATTTTCCTATAACAGCATGACACAGTGTGTTTTATTTCTTACTTAAACAGCACTTTAAATATAAGACACTTTGAGCCAAAGTGCTTCTTTGGTTTATTGAGACACCCACAAAAAGTGGTTAAAGAACCATTTGTCAAGCTTCTTTAGGGAACCTAAGGGTGCTTTTACACCTATTAGTCTGGTTCTTGGGTCTGAATCAATGTGAAATCGCTTAGACGCTCTTGGATCAGAAGTTTTGATCCACGACCGAGTGTGATTGCTGTGTTCTCACCTGCACTGAGAGGAAAATACACCAGGATTCAGTTCAAAGGGACTAAAAAATGTACAGTATACGTGAAAGCACACTTTAAATCTTTAGTTCTCTAGTTCTCTAGTTCCTGCATCCTTTTCGGTCCAGCAAGCAGTAAAAAGGAGATTTTAGGCGCTCGGGTTTTGAAGCATGAGTTCACAGGAAACGAGTGCTGCTCTGCAATCACACTCTGATTTCCCCTGTCAGAGTCTAATTGGCGTCAGCAGCAGGAGAGTTTTTCACATGCGGCTCTCCGTAATCACAGCACAGCTTCTTCGGGATGGTGAGAAAAATGCGGAAATTCCCAAAATGCTCTGCGCTCTTTCCCCCCATCGGTAGCTCCTTGGCGGTTTTTTCTATCTCTCATTTGAAATGTTTATTTGTCCTTGTGCTCACACATAAGCAAGTAAACAGCAGCATTATGGTTAGGGATGTAGGGATTAAAGCATGCTAACAGACGGGAAAGATCAAAAACACCAAAGGGGTGGATAAGCGGTGCGGTTCGACAGACGGGGCCACGACGCATTTCACACTTCCTGACTCTGCTCATTGGCTCGGGCTTTCCCTCTCGCCTCGCCCCTCCCTTGTCCTCGCACCGCCTATCGATTTCTACTCAGGGAGGGATTCTGATAATCCTGTCTGCACTCTTCTAGTGTTTGAGATGGATATGTGCAATTTAGAGGCGCTGTGTTTACACCGCCACACTCCGCAAACAAACACGAGTCGACCGGGAATGCTAACACGCTCCAAGCATGAACTACAGAGGATTAAAAGTTTGACTGCGAGTCTGGAATTTTGATTGCGGCTGACGAGCGCTACAGGTCAATCCAAGCACTGAAAGGTGTGTGTGAAAAAGTTGTTAGAAAATACACTCTGAATGAAAATTTGGAAAGAATAAAAAAAAAATTAAAAAGACAGGTTCCTCCTGCCTCACCACAACATGCCAGTAGGTGGATTAGTGACTCTAAAATACACTCTAGGTGTGAATAAGTGTGTGAATGTGTGTGCATAGTGCCCTGAGATGGACTGGCATCCTTTCCTGGTCATATTCCCACCTCACACCCAGTGTTCCCATGATAGGCACTGGACTGACCACAACCCAGACCAGGATTAATGTTAAAAAAATGAAAAACAACTGCTTATGCTTATAAAAATTTCTCAATTCCTTTTTTGCATCAGAAGAAAAGAGTGCATTTTATTTCTTTCAGACTGACACCTGTTCACTTAGCTCACTCTATTCTGAAAAAGAAATTGAAAGATATTTCAGTTTCAGGGTCGAATGACCTCCATAACTGCATCTTTCCGTTATTATCATCCATTAGCCGTTCCTCTACTTTCTGTGTACAATAAGAACATAAGCTATAATGCATCAATTCTGTTTTAAATATCACGGCATACAATAAAGCGCTTCTTTCAAAATGTTATTTTAGTATGTCGCTGTTCTTTTCCTTTCCTTTTCTCTGTAATTGCTCTGCTGAGTGGGGACGCAGTGCAGTGGGTGCTATTTGTTTAATTTGCTCTTACTGTTCAAAATGGCATTAAAATGATAGTTCAGAGCATTACGGGGCCGAAGGGACTGCGTTGAAAATGTCAGAGCACTCATGCCGCTCGTCGTGGGTGTTGATTTTCAGCTGCTAAGAGTCGCAAAGTGGAATTACTGCAAAAGTGGTCGCATGGAAATTCTTCACATATTAAAAGAGGTTTCGCTTTTTTTTTCCAGTGGGTGCCATGTGTATAGTATTAAAACTGTTGAAAATATCTACATATACATTTAGTCATTTGGCTGATGCTCTCACACAGAGTGAAAATGAAATAATATAAAGTGCTTGGAGACTACTGCTGCGTTGTACATGTTCTAGAGCAGCCAGGCTGGTAGTTAAAGTACTAAGGACTAATATACAGCCTTTAATTGATACAGCAGATGTCGGATCATAGACATACAAACAATGGGTAGGTCACGCCCCCTTCGCTGGGATTGACAGGCACAGAGATCACGCCTCCTTCACTGAGACTGGCAGGCACTAATGCCACGCCCCATTTACTGCGACTAACAGTCAGAGGTCACATCTTTATTGATTAATAAATGATAAATGAACAGATAACATCACATTTACTGGGACTGACAGGTACTGAGATCATGCTTCCTTTACTCAGATCTACAGGCACAGAGGCCACGCCCTCATTGCCGAGACTAACCAGCAATAAAGCCACACCCCTTTTATTGTAACTAACAGGCTCAGGCCATGTCTTATTCTATAGGACTGAGGGCAGGCCCCACCTCCTGCCCCAGAACTGAAGGGCACAAAGGCCACACCTCCTTCACTGGGACTCACAGGCACAGAGGCCACACCTCCTTAACTGAGCCTCACAGGCATATAGACTATACCTTGTTCCCTGCAACTGACAGGCACAGAAGCCACACCTTCTTTACTGAAACTCACAGACACAAAGGCCACACCTCTTTTACTGAGATTCACAGGCACAGAGGCCATACCTCCTTCACTGGGACTGACAGACACAAAAGCCATGCCTCATTTACTCACACTTAAAAGAACAGAGGCCACACCTCCTTCACGGATACTGAGAGGCCACGGCTTCTTCATTGGGACTGACAGACACAGAGGCCACACCTCATTCACTGCCACTCAGAACCAAAGAGACCATGCCTCCTTTACTCAAACTAAAAGGCACAGCAGCCACACCTCCTTCACTGACACTGATAGATGCAAAGGCCATGCCTCTTTTCACTGAAACTGAAAGGTAAATAGGCTACACCTCCTTAACTGGCACTGACATGCACATAGGCCACGCCTCCTTCAGGGGGACTGATAAAAAATAAGTGGTGTCAATTACTGGGAGTGACAGACACATAGGTCGTGCTCTTTTCACTGAGACTGAGACACAGAGGCCATGCCTCCAACCAATACTAACTTAATAATAAATGCTAGGAGCTAGGCATGAGGTATTGGACTTTACCAAAATATGTTTTAGCCTGCCGATGCAGTCGTATCTCTTAAAGTCCTTTCTTCTACTTCCTTTCATCCTTAAGACGACTGTGTTTGACCTTTTCTCTTAGATGCAGCAGGTACCGAGCTCACATTGCCTCCCAGCAACAGTACAACCGTGTTTGTGTAAAAGCAGCTTCCCGCCATTTCTGTCAAACCTCAGACTGTGCGCTTTTGTCCCTCTTTGTCTCTCTCAGACGGGCGTCTCTTGGTGGGACGCTTGGGCCGTTTGTCCTTGCTCCATGTGAATTGATTACACACCGCTGTGTTTGACTTTGACAAATACGACCAGCGGGAGGAACTCTTCTCTAGCGGCAAGGTGTCTTCTCTTTTCCTCCCATCTGCTGTCTAAAACACTTGATCTTTCTGTCTTGGCCCATCAGTCAGGCCTCTTCCTTTTCCCTCCGTGTTGTAATGTAGCTCATGGTAGCCATGCGTGAAAAGCCTGTCTCTTGATTTGAAGCTCTTTGAAAGGTCCGCTACAGTTCTCTGTGCTGTCATGCGTCTGGTTTACGAAGATCCCTATCTCCAGATGGATGAAACTGACTTCTAGGAATTCGAGCTTTGTCATATACAACATGGTCGCACATCTGTAAATTCCCAAATCTAGCCGCTGTGTAAAGTCAATAATTCATGTTACACGCTTGATCTGTGATCACCGTTATATTGTTTTTCGATGTTTTTTTATTTACACCTCGGAAAATGACCAGTCCAAACCCTGCCATCTCCAAGAGATCATAATTATCCTGACCTCTGGATGGTAACAGCGGCGTTTCTCTCCCCTGTGGAGCAGAACCAATCCCAATGTGTGTGTGGCAGTTTGTGCTTTCTTCCAAGTGTGTTCAGCACCGGCTTGAACGAAGAGTGTCCTACGATACATTCTTAAAAATAAAGGGAGCTGGTGAAATAAGTTCAAGGGTGCAATAGGACTGTAAATGACACTATGTGTATCTATATCTATTCTAAACCAAAGTGGGCGTGGCCTAAATCTGAAAGGGATTTTTTAAAAAATGAAATATGTCAGCAGTGTCAGCATGATGTGTGAATTCTGGCTCTGACAGATCCTCAACCTCAGCTACATCACTCCGGTTCATAATTCGGCTCAAGCAGGTGTTATTTTTGTTTGCCATTTATATTTAATTGATTCTATTTCCCAAAATATAAACAACCTAGTAGCCTAATTTAAACCACTGCAACCCTGACCAGGCAGTTATTCTACTTCATGAATGAATGAACGCTGTATTCTTATGTTAATGAACTTGGTATTTCTTTGTCCCGTGAGCTCACAACCAAATGACAGTAAAAATCTTCCACTTGCTTGATTTTTTGTTGCGTCCCACAGGATCCCAGTCCCAATGCACATCTCAACCAGATGCTCTGTGAACCTTTCTGGGAAGCTTTCTAAAGAAAAAAAAAACGAGTAGTGCTCCTCTTATTCATAGCTGTATTTACTGTATATTTGTTTACAACACATTATCTCTGTATTCTGAATAATAATGTATTCATATTCGGTTATGTCCTTAGTGTGTAGTCAAAAAATACTCTCGTTGAGTTTTCAGTAAAGTTGTGTTTAAATGTTTTCGTAGGCCAAACCAAACAAAAAATTTCGGCCACATTTACAAAA